GCCCCGAGCCCCGCGCCCCGCACCCCCGCCCCCGCCGGCTGTTGGTCCCGCCCCCGGCCCCACACCAGCAGATACCTCGGTCCCACGAGTGGTGGGTGTGGCCCCGGGGGGGGTCCGGGGTGGGGCATGAAAACCCATTTTTGGGTTTTAGCCCATGTGGTGCGCACTCTCGCTGCGCACCCCCCACTATTTTTTATTTTTTATTTTGATTTTTTTTTTTTTACTTTTTTTTTTTTTTTTTTTTGGGGTGTCTGGAGCCGGGGTTGGGGGTGCCCACCCTCGGACCCCCGGACCCCCCCCGGGGCCCCGGCTCGACAACCCTGCTCTCGTGCTATATCGGGAACTCCCTGGTACCGGGCAGTAGTCTGTGAATCTGATCCCAGGTAAGTCCTTCAAACGGTTTGCGGGGTCTAAAGGACTTGTGTAACTCATTGCGAGTGCGACAGGCAGACAAATGCACGTTGTTATTGTATGCGCTGGCTACCTTGGGTAACATCTCATCCCAATTGACTTGATCCGGTCTAATATACATGCGCATAACTTGCTGCAGGATCTTGTTCATCTGTTAAGTCTGACCATTAGTCGCTGGATGACGGCCAGATGACATCAACAACTTTGAACCATAGACTCTCATCAGTTCCTGCCAGTTCTGGCTCGTGAATCTGGTATCTCTATCACTAACTATAGACAATGGGACTCCGTGGTCACTAATCCAATGATAAAAAAACTTCTGAATGACTAACTCCGTACGGGGCTCTGCAGGCAAAGGAACAAAAACTGCATATTTACTGAATCTATCAACTATGACCATGACTTGGCTCTTGCCGTGTCTACTCTTGACACCGGCATCCATAAAGTCAATGGAGACTGAATCTCCCGATTGGTCTGGGATAGGCAAGGGTCTGAGAAGACCTAGAGGGGCACGCGTAGTGGTCTTGTTCCTCTGGCAAACTTTGCAATTGGGAACATACTCTATGCAGTCAGCTTTCACTCCTGGCCAGGTATACACACGCATCAGATTGGCTAAAGTCTTCTGCCAACCGAAGTGTCCCTCTGTGTCATGACATTCTCCTAAGATCAGGCTACAGATCTCCTCACTGTTGGGAATGCACAGGCGGTCTTCTACATTAGTCTTCTCAAACAATAGTCCCTCAGTAGTGCGGTAGTCTGGTTCGGTCTCTGAGGCCTCCTTAACTCTCTTGAGGAGGTCACCATAGATAGGGTCCTGCGCATACGTCTGTCTAACTTTCTTTTGCAGGTCCTTCCCTATATCCAGATAGTGTACTATAGCTCCAAAGTAGTCCGATCTCCTACTTAGAGCATCCGCAACTACATTGTACTTTCCTTTGACCGGTTTGAGCTCAAAGTCATATTGGTCTATTTCAGCGGCCCACCTAGTTAACTTAGGTGTCATTTTGGCCTGGGTCTTTAACCATCTAAGTGTTTCATGGTCAGAATATACTTTGAAGTGCCTCCCAAGCAGGTAATGCTTCCAGTGCTCTAAGGCCTGCCTGAGAGCGTAGAGTTCTCTCTCATACGTCGAGGTGGCTACTTTCTCTGAAGGCATCCTCGCTGACATGAACTCTACGGGTCTATAGCCATTGCCGTCATCTTGCTGCAACACGGCGCCTATACCATACGGACTCGCGTCCGTGGTGACGACAAATGGTAAAGACGGATCAGCTACTTTGAGGACAGGATACTCTATCAACGCGCGCTTTAACTTCTTTTGCGCAGACGTACAGTCTCTATCCCATTGCCAGATTGCCTCTTTCTTAAGCAACATGCGCAAGGGAGCGGCGATAGTAGAGAAGTTCCTCACGAACTTCCTATAATAGTTAGCTAGGCCTAAAAACGACCGCAACTCTGTCAATGTGCGGGGCGTCGGCCAGTCTCTAATCGCCGCTATCTTGTTGTCCTCTGGTTTAATGCCATCTCCGTCTAACACGTGGCCCAAGTACAGGACTTGTGTCTTGGCCCACTCGCACTTGTTCGGGTTGATTTTGAAGTTAGCCTCTCTTAGCTTCTCCAAGACATGTCTCAAATGATCCTGATGCTTTTGGAGGGTCCTACTGAATACTAATATATCATCTAAATAGACTACTACGAACTTATCTAACCACGGTCTGAACAAATCATTCATACAATGCTGAAATGTAGCTGGCGTGTTGGTTAGTCCAAAGGGCATCACTATAAATTCATAATGCCCATATCTAGTCCGGAATGCAGTCTTGTACTGGTCATCAGGGTGAACCTCTATCTGATGATACCCGGACTTCAAATCTATCTTAGAGAAATACTTGCAACCCTGCACCCGATCTAAAAGATCATCTATCCTGGGCAGTGGTTCAACATTCTTCACTGTGATGGCATTCAAACCCCTATAGTCTATGCACATACGCAACTCTCCCTCTTTCTTGGGGACAAACAAAACAGGTGCTCCAAAAGGAGACGAAATGGGCCTGATCCAACCTTTCTCCAGAAGCTCGTCCAACTGCTTACGTAGTTCTTCTAACTCTCTAGGGGACATCCTATAGATTGCTCCCTTAGCCAGGCTCTATCTCTATTCTGTGTTGGATTGGTCGCGACACTACTCCTGTCGGTGACTCAGTCAAATCTTTGAACTCCTCCAGCAGCTTGGCAATGGTTGGATCCGTGGAACTACCTCCTTCCTTAGGCTCAGTGATAGGTCTAACATATACTACAAAGACCTGGTCCTCTAACTGCTCCTTTTTCACTAGTCGCGCGAACGCGGGAGCACTGAGACAGCAGTGTGCCAAAGTGTTATCTACACCTGACACATGAAACAGGCGGGCAATCTTAACCTCGCCTGACGGACTAGGGAACCTACACTCATGCTCTCTCAAGTGGAGTGTGGCCCCTGCTGCCTCTCCCCAGTCCATTCCTAACACTATGTCGAAAGGGAGGTCATCCTGAACGAGGAGAGTGAGGGACTGGAGAACTTTCTCCACCTTCCCATCCTTTTCTAGGTGAAAGTATGCTTGGACTCCCTCTACGTAGTCCTCAACACGCATTGTGCGGTTGTCTGCGAGCACACTGACAATGGGGTCTGCCAACTTTTGGACTTTCAATCCTAGCCTCAACTTCTTCAGCGCCCTACGGCTAATGTAACTACGGGTAGCCCCTGAATCTATAAGGGCCCCTACTCTACTCCTGAACACTTCTACATCAACTAAGATTAGTTGTCCCTTACTCTCCTTCTTCATTTTGGCCCAGGCTGGCATCCTCTCCTTCAATTCCTCTGCCACGCCTGTGAGGGACGTGCCTAGAGAGACGCTAACACAAGCAGTCTTTGGACAACTAGCTAGGTACGGGCCTGCAACCTCTGCCATAGGCTCATGTGGTTTGGGAGTTTCCTGTATGCGCGCGCTCGCTTCCCCACATGGCCTTGAAGTAGGGGCAGTTGCGACCCCTACTGGCGGCTGCCTTTTGATTGTTGGGCAGCCCATCGGGCCTGTCTGTACTTAGGACAAAATTTAATTACATGGGCCGGGTCACCACAAAATACGCACTGACCCAAGTCCACGCGTTCCTGCCATACGCGTTGGTCCAAGCCCAGGTCTTCCCATGGCCTGCCTTGCGACAAGCCTGGGTGCCATCCTCCTGACTGTTGAGGTGGCCTTCCACCTCGTCGCTGCGGGGACCAACAAGAACCCTGGCGATTTGGCGGGGGACCTTGACCCCTACCTCCCACTTGGCGGTTCCCTTGTCCGCCAACCCCCTGTGCGCCCGGTTCTCGGCCTCCCATGGCCTGGCCCCTTTGGCCCTGGCCTCCTCCTCTACCTTGCGGCCTCCCTCCAACCGCGACAGCCGCATAGGACCTCCCTTGCCCTACGCTGCTGTCCTCCTCCTCTAACCCCCACTCAATCTCACTGTAGGGGACTTCATCAGTACCACCTTCTTCTAAAGTAAGGATCATGTGATCCTTGGCCCTGACTTGGCCGGAGATGGTACGGCCTTCCAATTTTTGCCCTTATCCAAGTCCTTGTGCCAGAAAGTGGAGACTGGCATGGACTTCGACTCAAACAGGACCACCTCTCTACTTAACACATCATATGTGATGTCGGCCTGTTGAGACTCGTCAAAGAAATGCCCACGCAGGGGCTCCGGCATGGCACGATAAAATATTTGGACCAATTGGGGCTCAGTGACCCCATGGTCTGGGACGGCTACCAAGTCGCCCATGATGCCCTTGAGTGCTCTTGCACTCCTCCACTGTCGTGAGTGGATGGTCTGTAACTTATCAGAGGCTCTAATGCCTCTCGATGGATCAACAAATCTCTCCCTCATGAGTTTGAAGAATTGAGGAAAGGGGGTGACTTTAGAATATGCAACCAGGTTGTTTTCACAACTGGCTGCGCGCGCAAGGGATCTGGCAAAGCTAGCCGCTTCATCCTTGAGGGCCTGGAAGGCGACGGGGACTTGCTCCTCAGTCAAGATGTGTTGTAAGTATATATAGTTATTAACGCTTGCCTCCCAGTTATCGAAATTCTCCTCCTTCTTCCCGCCGTATGCATCTGGGAATTTCAGTTTGACGGGCTCTTTACGAGGCCTGGCCTCACTATCGACAGTGGCTATTGCTTTGGCACCCTCGATGGCGCCCGGCCAGAACTTCCCCACGCTGTCTCTCAATCGCCTAACTTCGCCTCAAACGTGGCTGACCATATCGCGCACAAAGTCTCGAAATCCTGACCGCATGTCCTTCAGGGCCACATCTTGACCCTAGCTAGCTTGGCGCTCCTCCATCCAGGCCACACTCAACACTTCCAAGTACCCCAACATCTTATCCATTTTGGCAGAAATATTTGCCTGCGCCTGCACCTCTTGTCTACAATCTCTCACTTTTGCCACTTCTGCGGTCAACCTGTTAACTTCGTCCCTCCTCCTTTTCTTTTCTCACTTCATCCTCAGTTTCCATTCGAACTTCTCCTCCTCCTTTACTTCTTGCCTTTCCAGGGGGTCCTCGATTGCTGCTAGCTCACTGGCTAATGCATCCCTCTCGTCCTGTGGCACATAGAACTCTGCCTCCTCATCTTCCCCGAACGATAAATTAGCAATCCACTCACTGATTTTTTTCTCCATGGCTGCATCCTCATTTGCCATACCACTACTTTCCCCTTTTACCTCCCTGCGTTTTCTCTCCTCTTCTGCCTCTGCTGCTGCTTCTTCCTCGGCAGCCTTTTTCTTCTCCTCCATCTCCTCCTCCAACTTCTTCATCTTCGCTGCCTGCTCCTCTGCGATAGCTTTCAGCTTCTCCTGCTTCAGGAGCTCTTTTCTCTCACTAGGGCGGCCATCTTCTCTTGCTGTTCCTGGGTATAGGGGCTAGTGCTCTTCCCAGTACCGGTCTCAACCATGGTGATAGTGCACAACGGGGTTAGTGGTTCCGAACCTCACCACATAGACTCTAACCCCTGACTAACAAACCTATTGACTCAATCTAATGACTCACAGAATCCGGACAGGGATCCTGCCAACTAGGGTCTCTAGCCTAGACCTAACTATGGCTGTCACTACTAGACCTGTTGCTGATCAGGAGGCATTTAAGGAGATCCCCCGTAACTCCTCAGGAATTATTTAACGTCGCAGACAGGACGACGCGATCAGCAGGTCTCTCAACACTTAGACTGCCTGTTGCACAGCCCACAACTCAGCCTTTCGGGCCTACCGTGCCACACCGAGCAGCCCGCCGGTCTGTACCGGTCCTTGGGAGGGTTAGGCCTCCGGGACAGTCGAGTCGTCAGACACAGTCTTAAGCCCTACTTGGTCCGGCAAGGGTTTGGTCAACAAGGCCTATCCTTCATCCACAGAGTACTATCACCTAGACAGAAGAGACTCGATGCAGAAAGAAGAGACAGACAGACTGGACTCAGCAAGTACCACAAGGTGTGTGCTCATCCATAGGGCGAGGGATAGGCTGAAGGCTTGGCGAGATTTTACCGGCTCCAGCTTGGTCAAAGTCTTGGTCAACGCCTGAGTCAACGCTCGGTCAACGCTCGGTCAACGCTCGGTCAACGCTCGGTCAATGCTCCAGTCAACCCCTGGTCAAACCCCGGTCAACTCCCGGTCAACCCTGGTCAACGCCTCCGGTCAACTCCTCTAGTCGGCTATGGCTGCCGGCTTTACTTTCCTTCACCAACCTTCTTTGTTCCCTTCACCTTCCTCGCCTCCTTTCACCGTGCTGTCTTCTTTCTCTTTTTTTTTTTTTTTCTTTTTCTTTGTTCGTCTCTAGGCTGAAGGCTTGGCGAGATTTTACCGGCTTCAGCTTGGTCAAAGTCTTGGTCAACGCCTGAGTCAACGCTCGGTCAACGCTCGGTCAACGCTCGATCAATGCTCCAGTCAACCCCCGGTCAAACCCCGGTCAACTCCCGGTCAACGCCGGTCAACCCTGGTCAACACCTCCGGTCAACTCCTCTAGTCGGCTATGGCTGCCGGCTTTACTTTCCTTCACCAACCTTCTTTGTTCCCTTCACCTTCCTCGCCTCCTTTCACCCTGCTGTCTTCTTTCTCTTTCTTTTTTTTTTTTTTTTTTTTTTTTTTCGTCTCTCCTTCCTCCTCCTCGGCTATGGCTTCCCTCTCTTTCCTCGGTCTCTCTCTCTGTCTGGTCTCTCTCCCTCCTTTGTTACTCCGTGGTCAACTCCGCGGTTATGGCCTTCTTCTTCTTCTTCGTGGGACTGCGCAGCAACTTCACAGGTACGTAACAGCCAAACTTGTATCGCTCATCTCTCTCTCTCTCTCTCTCTCTCTCTCTCTCTCTCTCTCTCTCCGTAGCGATATCTCCAGCGCAGCAGGTACGTAGTAACCCAATCTTGTAACGCTCAACCTTCCTCTCTCCTCTCTCTCTCTCTCTCTCTCTCTCGGTCTTCTTTTTCGTCGTGGTCTCTTTTCCAGGTGCGCGGCGGCTTCTCCAACCTCCAAGTCCGCTATGGCGGACTTCTTCTCGTGGCGGCCACCTCAGCTATGGCGCATCTCTCCCTGCACACGACGGCGCGCATGGAATAGCGGGTACCAGCTCCAATACCAATGCAATCAGACACGCTTTCTTTCACTCTTTACATGCATGCAAACCGTAGCGCAGCAAACTGGCGACATGTGCCCACTCAAAACTCAGAGATATGGTTGCCGAAAACACAGTCCAGATACAAGTTCACTCTCAATGGCTATGGCGACTCAGCGCCGCAACTACCCTATCACTATGCTACGCTCCTTCTCTCTCGCCCACTTCAGCTCCGGGCTCACTGCAGACCTCCTTGCACAAGTCGCTGTGGCAGCGCTTCCGCATGGCTCACGCAGGAATGCAAAATGAATGGCTGGGCGCTGCTTCTTGATTTATACTTCTGAAGCTCGTTGGTCTGCCCTTTTCCATCAGCCCTTGGTACTCACAGTCACTCGTGGTACTTGCTGGACCGGACTGGGACTGACTGGACCTTACCGCTGACTGAATGGGGACTCACTGCTATCCTACTGCTACCGTACTGCGAAAGTACT